TAGATAGATAGATAGATAGATAGATAGATAGATAGATAGATAGATAGATAGATAGATAGATAGATAGATAGATAGATAGATAGATAGATCGATCCAAGGACTGAAAGTAAAATACTAGAAAAACATGTCACACGATTAGGAATCAAACTTTAATTTTGCACAGAGGAGTTAACTGAATATCAAAGTTGAAGGAGACCTTGGAGGCCCTTTAGTCCAACCTCTGCCCAAGCAGGAGACTCTATAATATTCCAGACAAATGGCTGTCCAATCTGTTCTTAAAAACCTCCAGTGATGGAGCACCCACGGCTTCTGAAGGCAAATTGTTCCGCTCGTTAATTGATCTCACTGTCAGGAAATTTCTCCTTAGTTCTAGGTGGATCTCTCCATCGGTTACTTCTTTTCCTGCCTTCAGGTGTGGAGACAGAGGAATTGACAGAAGAGTTCATACCTCAATGCTAATAAGATGATTCCTCTTCATGCACCAGTGCAAAATCTCCTTCCTCGTAGTGTACGGGCTTTCCATCCAGACAGGCAATGACTATGTTTTTGGGAGAAAGATTTTCTCTGTAGATACAAGGTGCTCGAGGGTTAGAACTTCTCAAAGTGCAGGTGGTGACTGAAAATATCTTTATGCTATGGCGCAGCTCATGCCCATAAGTTACCCCTTTTCTGCCACACACATCAAGGATATAAGTCTTGGTGTCATGTATGAAGGTATTGACTAGCTTGCATTTGGGCTTGGTCATTCCCCGGCTTTGCATCATGGCATTGCAATAGTGGGTTCCAACAACGCTTCTTGGGAAGTCATAGTGCTTCATGAGGAAGTTCTCATAGCTAAAGGCAAAGGACCCCAGGATGAATACAGTTGTTAGGAGGAGAAGCAGAGCGTGGAAGGATTCTTTCAAAGGCATCATTGTCTCTGCAACAGCTGAAAGAAGGAACGGTGGAATGATTCAGTTTGGAATATGGTAATACAGATTTGCCCCTTCAATTTGTTAATTGACTGGTTTATAACAGACATTCATAGATATTTGGAATACCAGCGAAGGAGAATATTTATAGCTCAGGTTTGAAATGAGAGGTCTTTGGTGCTGTCTGAGCTTAGTTTAATTTATAGTGAATTCCTCTCCAGCAAAGTCCTGGCCCGCAGTCTTTCAAAATAGTTCACAATTACTTACCTTTATCAGGCTTGGAGAGTGGACAGGCCGATTTCAGATGTTGCAGATGTTTCGATAACCAATGAGGCAACATCATCAGTGCTAGTCAGATTTACATCACATCAGCAATCAAGAAGTGAACAATACCGTAATCAAGGAAGTTCCAAAAAAATTAACAATAAAACAACCCAAACACAGGACCTCTAAGATCACCTCCACCGTGTTGTGGCCCACCAGTGGCCAACGGAGATGGCAGCCATTTCAGACAGTGAGGTTGGGGAGTAACATGGGCCAGTCCTGGAGTCTGGGGAAGGCTCTAACAAATGCTCTGAGATGGAGGCAGAGATGGGGCCAGGGCCATCTGACAGTTATCAGCTGCCTTCAGAGTCAGACATCAATGAGGCAGAGGAACAGCTGGAGCCTGTTCCCAGTGTGTGCATGCGCAGAGTTGCCAGATGAAGGGCACAACTAAGGAACAGGGGTTGACTTGGGGGTAAGGTCAAAGGTGGATGGTGAATGGCCCCTCCCATAGGGGATAAAAGAGGGGTGAAAGGAGCGGGTGTTTGCAAGAGACAATTAGTTCATTCCTACATTTTTGCCAAGTATTGTAGTGTCTGAAAGAAATCGGCCTGTCCACTCTCCAAGCCTGATAAAGGTAAGTAATTGTGAATATTTTGAAAGACTGCTGGCCGGGACTTTGCTGGAGAGGAATTCACTGTAAATTAAATAAAAGGGGTTTATCAGGACGAGGACTTGGCTTCATGCTGCTTGGGAAGCCTAGGTCAGAACATACCAATACGGACAAGGGCAAGCTAGTAGAATGTAAATTGAGATGAACTCCACTCCTTACTAGTACTGATGATATTACCTAGTTTGGGTAACCAAACATCTGCCAGAAAACTACCCAGCTCAGACATTGGGAGTCTCTGATAAAGTCCAAGATTCTTGAGGAATTGTTTCATCCTAACAGGACTACTCCATCCCACTCATTCCAGAGGAAAGGGCCGATTTCCATTGGGCAAAAATTAATTAGCTGGCAGAGTCTAGGAGAAGAGTCTTCTGTGTGGCCCTACCTTCTGGAATAGTCGGATGTCCTTCTTCACAATCCTAGCCTTCCTGAAGAGCCTAAAAAGTTGGCCTGGCCCACACGGTGGCCTGCTTTGTTGGGAATGACTGACTTGGTAGAGAATATCTCCAACCCCAGGCTACACATCATGTTGGCTTTTAGCTTTTATATTCAATTGTTTTTCTAATTTTAATTGTTTACTAGTATATTTTAATCTTTTTTTTACAGTTAACTACCCAGGGTTGCTGTATCAGTGAAATGGGTGAGTGGACATTTAATAAATAAACAAATAAGGCTTGGTTTCATTTATTTCTGGCTTTAAAGTGAGCAAACATAGCTGAGGTTTGGGCCAGTGGCTGCTTATATGATTAATAGAATAATAAATGATACGCCACAATATGATTCTATTCTAATATAATATAGAGTTGGAAAGGACCTTTGAGGTCTTCTAGTCCAAGTCCCTGCTTAGGCAGGAAACCCTACACAACTTCATACAAATGGTTATCCAACATCTTCTTAAAAGCTTCCACTGTTGGAGCATTCACAACTTCTAGAGGAAAGTTGTTCCACTGATTAATTGTTCTAACCATCAGGAAATTTCTCCTCAGTTCTAAGTTGCTTCTCTTCTTGATTAGTTTCCACCCATTGCTTCTTGTTCTACCCTCAGGTGCCTTAGAGAATAGTTTGACTCCCCCTTCTTTGTGGCAACCCCTGAGATATTGGAACACTGCTATCATGTCTCCCCTAGTCCTTCTTTTCATTAAACTAGATGCAACCCTTCTTCATATGTTTTAGTTTCCAG